ACTTTGAACTAGCTCACGTAGAAAGAGAAGTTTCCCAACACTGGTGGTAAATGTGGATGTTACTCAGCAGCAGTCACTGTGGCGTCCGTGTTAATAACCAAAGCCAGTAAAACCGCATTATAGAAGTCTTGGTGATGGTTGTTGTGTGATGCTTGAAGATAGATCGGTTAATCCACAATGTGTTCGTGGATCCAAAATGTGTTAATCCACAAATCGTTCCCAGTCCGAGCCTCTCTGCTACCAACCCTAAAGGACTGCCTTGTTGGTTCATTTTAGGATCAATCTCTGATTTGGAGAAGATTCAGTGTTTTCACCTTAGACCTGAAGAAGTTGATGACCTGGGAGATGTCAAAGTTCTGGTCAGCACACAGCATGTCTCCAGCGATCTGCTCACACAGAGATAAAAAGGCTGAGAACAGGCCGCAGGGCAGAACACAGACCTGATGGAACACTGACAGGCGCCCCTCACCACAACAACATCATCCTGCAGCTTCCGACTCCGTATGACCAGCTCCAGGTCGGCCACGGCCCCCAGCTGGTCCCTCAGGGTGGTGCTGCCATCGTTCACCACGTTCTCCACCGGGAAGTCGTTGGCTGTGGCCCAGCGCTCGTAGTACTTATACCTGATCACAAAGACATTCCAACCAGTTCCAGCTGCAAGCTGCAGATCAGAGGTCCAACCTCACAGCGCCTCGGTCCTAAAACTCACTTGTCTGCGTTGGTGACCAGGTAGACCTCAGTGAAGAGCTGCCGCCTGGAGAGAAGAAAGCAGAAGCTGAACCAGCAGGTTCTGAACGGCGACCCTGAACACGTTTGGTCCCGTCAAACTTACACGTTGACGGTTTCCCACCAGAAGTCAAGGATCTTCTTTCCTCCGATCCCAGGAAGCAAAGCTTTTGGTACGCCGGTCAGATGGCCGTATAAACCCGTCTCATCGTTCTGTTCCAACAAACAAAGACCCTCAGAGCTCTGATCCTGGCTGCTTCCCGTCCAATAATGCTCAGCCTGTGGTTTGCATTCACCCAAAAAAACTCCTGGACTGAAAAAATAATGCAACCATTTCCTGGCATTTACTTCATCATATTTAGTTACTTTAACACAGTTGTTTCATGTTAGCAGCAAATGACATAAAACAATCGTGTTAAAGTAACTAAATGTGATTAATTTAATGCCAAAAACTGGTTGCATAATTTTTTAGATCAGGGGTCTTCAACATTTTCCAGGCCAAGGACCCCAAACTGATGGCGAGACGGAGCGGGGACCCCCTAATTATATACATTGCATGAAACTGGTCTTATAGTCACTCTATTACAGATGGAGAAATGTAACTAAAGTAATCCCTCCCTGGGATTATTAAAGTATTTCTGATTCCTGGTTGATGGGACAGGTGGTGTGAATGAAACGGTGCCCAGCTTGAAAGAGCTCCTGTGTGTCTCTGAATGTTTGCATTGATGACTGAAAGTGTGTTGAATTCATTTTAATGTTGATTTAAAGACATTTTAATAAGTGGAAAAAACTGCAGGGGGGGGATAAAAAAAAAAGTCTAATCAACCAAAACTTTTGTGACCCCCCTGCAGTACCTCTGTGGACCCCCTAGGGGTCGCGGACCCCCTGTTGAAGACCTCCGCTTTAAAGGATGAGCTGAAAATCAGCTGACGCTTAGAATTAGCCAAATTATTTAAATCTGAAAGATCTGTTTATTTAAAATCTATGGAGTGAATTTTCTACCGTTGTTTTAGGTTTATTAAGTTTTACGGATTTATTATTAAAATAATATATTTTCTCACATTATTTTCAAACTATATTTTTAAAATTTCTTTTCGTAGATTTTTTTTATTTTTATTTTTTATGGAGTGATGGCCTAGTGGTTAGAGCAGCGCGCCTGTGCTCTCAGAAGGTTGCAAGTATCTGGCTCGATCCGCACAGCCTCGGCTCTGGGTCCCTGAGCAAAGACCCTTAACCCCCTCACCGTCCCCGGGCGCCGCACAATGGCAGCCCACTGCTCCCCAAGGGGATGGATTAAATGTAGAGGTAAAACTATCCATTGTTAGATCCATACACTTATTATTAATTAAGTTATTAAGTAATAATAATTATTATTATTTTCAGATTTAATTTTTCAGCTTGATTGGAGCCCCATACCAACGTCTGCATTAGACCAATAAAAATATGAGGCTAACCTCTTCAGAGACCAACAGAAATGCGCCTTTGCTTCTCAATCCAGAGGTGAAGAGTAATAATAAATTTTAAAAAAAATATTTAAAAAAGAACTGAGAAACAAGCAAAGTTTCTCTCAAAACTTTATTTTGATCAAGACATTTTTCACCTTAATTTATGTGTTGCATTTTCTTATTTCTTTATTTACAAAATGTGTTCTTAATTCACAATAATAGAAAAATCCCCTCCAGACAAACTGGGACGTCTAAACACAGATGAAACATCTGGAAAAGCGGCCAGATGCAGAACAAAAGCAGAAGGTATCCAAGCAGAAATTCCACCAAAGAGCTCATCGACAGGCGGACTGCATTAAAACCTAAGAGAGACGGACTAAATGTTTCATCTGAACTCCTACAGCAGACCAGCGGATGCTGTTAAAGCGCTTTGCTCCTGCTTTACTGGGATTAAGCTCCAGTTTTAAGGGTTTGACCAGAACATCTCCTGGTAAAAGTCTGGAATCGTTTCTTCTAAGGAGCTTCAGTTTGTACCAAAAATGGAAAATTTATTTCTTTTAGATCAACTAAGAAGAAGAAAAAAAATCCCTGAGTCACTTTTTAAAACTCATTTTATTTTTTCTCTTTGAAGTAATTTGAATCTCTTATTTTCAGAATAACTAGTTTAATCATTTCCAATTGGCACAAAACAGTAATTTCAGAGTTAAAAGCATTTATTCATCCCAGCTGTTTAATTATTTCCAGTCTACATCGTTTTCAGGCCAAAAAAATAAAAATAAAAATATATATATATACATAAAA